AGCCGGGCCATCCAAAGTGGCGGAGAAACCGCGGCATCGGATTGCGTCCTCGTACCCCATCATGACCATGTAGGAAAGGTACCGAGATACATGATGCTGGGGGTCAGAAGCGCCCTTGTATGCTTCAATGGCGCATGGCTTGTAGCCCCTCGGCAACGGCGCATCCATGACCGCCCGGGTGAAGGGTTCGGGTATCCGGAGGTCGGCCGTGTAGGGCTCCCCCCCGACGACCCTCCTTCTCAACTCGTCAAGGCGCTGTCGTAGATCTTCCACCTCGGCCGGCGGTGGGTTCCCCCGGACAGCTCCAGCGCGGGGCTGAGCATGTCCGGCGGCACCTCCAAGTCGTCCGTGCACGTGAGGTCGGGGCCCCACGTTTTGCCTCTCCGTGGAGCCAGTCCGACTGCTTGCCCGGTGAGAGTGGCGAGAGGGCTCGCCTCCTTCCATCTGCGTTGGGCGCCCCTGCTGGGCGCCCCTCCCCGTCTGCCGATGGGGTCGGCTAGGCTGCTGAGAGACTTCTTCCCCCCGCCGATGGGAGACTTCTTCCCCCCTGTTTTGGTTGGATCCAGAGCGTCGCTCATCACGCCGCCTGGAGGACACCTCCACATCCGCTGGCGTCTGTTGACGGGCAGGCTCATCCAAATTTCCGCCAGACACCATCTGTTGGAAATTTTGAGCCAAGGTCCCCAGAACCCGAGTTGCCTCCTGCAGAGCTTCCACCCCGGCATTGAGTCGAGCCGGGTCCATGCGCGGAGCATGACGTCGGCCTCCCCCCCGCCGGCTACGGACCGAGCGCTCACCTTGAGTGTGGTTGAGCGTCGCCCTTAGGTCGCCGTGGCCTGATAATTGGTTCCGAAGGTCGCCTTGGCGCGCCGCCCTCCTGCCCTGTGCATGGTTGTCGAGGGCACGCTGGCGGCCAGACCGGGCGGACTCCTCGGTGTGGATTGAGACATGGTCACGTCGAGACGAGATTCCAGCCATCTTCCTGTGTGATTCCTGCTCAAGTTATGTGAGAGACAATAGCCGCTCTCAATGAAAGCACCAATGTTGGTCCAAAATAGGACGCTCGTAGGCTTTTAGGAAAGCTACGTACGACACTCAAGCATGAATTAGGAAAGTACGAATATGGAAAGTTAGCCAGAAATAGCATATCTGTATTTGAAATTCGAATTGCCTTTTATAGGCGATTACAAATGGTAACTGCCGAACATAATAATGACTAAATTAATTACAACATTAATACAGAATTAAACACATAATTAAGTCGCGCATTGATTGTTGGTCGTTACTCTTCCTGGCTGGCAGGTCAGCCTGGCTGGCTGGCTGGACGCTTGAGCTCCCTCCTGCTGGACTGGACGGTGGGCTTCCCGCTAGGCTGGAGGAAGGCTTCTGACCGGGCTGGAGGCAGGCTCCCGGGTAGGCTGGAAGGCAGGCTCCCGGGTAGGCTGGAAGGCAGGCTCCCCGTTGGGCTGGAGGCAAGCTCCCGGGTAGGCTGGAAGGCAGGCTCCCGGGTAGGCTGGAAGGCAGGCTCCCGGGTAGGCTGGACCGCAGACTTCCAGTTGGGCTGGACCGCAGGCTCCCAGCTGGGCTGGTGGTCGGCAGGCTCCTGGCTAGGCTGGAAGGTAGGCTCCCGGGTAGGCTGGACCGCAGGCTTCCAGTTGGGCTGGACCGCAGGCTCCCAGCTGGGCTGGTGGTCGGCAGGCTCCTGGCTAGGCTGGAAGGTAGGCTCCCTACTGGGCTGGAAGGCAGGCTCCCGGGTAGGCTGGACCGCAGGCTCCCAGTTGGGCTGGACCGCAGGCTCCCAGCTGGGCTGGTGGTCGGCAGGCTCCTGGCTAGGCTGGAAGGCGGGCTCCCCACTGGGCTGGAAGGCAGGCTCCCCACTGGGCTGGTCGACAGGCTCTCTTGGGCTTCCGCTCCTTGATTGCCCTGGTTGGTTGGGCTGACTCGAGCTCTGGGTTGCTGGGCTTGGGCCCGCTGGTCCAAGTTCGGGGCCTGAGCCGATTAGGCTCTGGGCCTAGTCCCATAACCCCATCACCAGGCTTTTAATTTCTTTAATTATTAACCCAACCTATTGAAATAAATGCCTGCATTTGTTGGAACAAAACTGATTTTATTGCATTTTGTAGTCTCTGTACTTGTTTAGTGATTTGTAGACACATGGTTAACTTAATCTTTTTCTTTTTGAAAACACGTACACTTCTAATCCTAACTACATAAAAATTGACATATTGATCCACTGTAAGACACCAAATCCTAGGTTTTTGAAAAATGATGCCTATCAACCAAATGTTAGTGTACTATCTGATATACTAACTATAATTGAGTATGGATATTAATATTATGTTCTAAATTAGATCAACTAAATAGTTTCAGGAAATAAAAAGCTTATGTTAGATGAACATAAAACATTTTAAATATAATAATATATTCACATAGAACTATACCTCTGCTTATATTCAATGGCCTCCTTAGTTTCAGGGTCGATTAACAAATGTGTACCGTTAAATGCGTTTGTAAGCCCTATAGTCCGTGATGAAGTTAATAGAAAATACGAAATTAAGGGGATAAAGCAAAACAACAAACTGTTAACCATTGATTTAACAACAACCATCCTTTTAAAAAACAACCAGTGAATTTACTGGTTTGACCCATATCTAAAATGAGTATAAGGGGTCCACTTGAACTTGGCATGTCATACTTTTTTTGCATCTGAACTGCGAAGTCACCCCATAAAGTGCAACGAATTTGATTTCCCCTGCCAAAAAAATTGTGTTCAATATGAAAATAGCATGACACTAATATATAACTCTTTCTTTCAAGGAATAAAATATAACTTTTTTGAAGGACGAATATATAACTTATAAATCACTTAATCATAAGGATATTTACTCCAAATCTTCCAACGTAATTTGGATACGTTTCATTTTCTTGCCATCTTTCTCCAGTTTCGTCAGAAAACCTTTTTGGGCATCATGGCCTATCACATCTACAAAATGCCAATATTTTACATAAAATCAATAAAGAGTGATATTTTTTAAGTTTTACTACGTAAGTTACAATCTTATTTGGACATACCTATTATGGATGATTCATGTTTTCCTTCCAAAATGTCGGGATACTTCACAAAGTCATAGTGATACATAGGTATTGCATCCGCTTGTATATTAGATGACTTTGTGATGCTTTTAGGGAAAACTGTCAAATAGGTCCTCGAACTTTCATAAAAAAGTCAATTAAGTCCTTCTATAGGAGGTTCTGTCCAGCCGTCGCGATTTGGGGCAGTTCCTGGTGGAATTTTTTGATGAAAGTTTTTTAGTATCTCATTCACCAAGTCTAATTTACTCATACCAAATTTCAGCTAAAAGTTTAATCGGGAACACATCCAAATTAATTCTAAAGATAACTGCGCATTTTTGCGTTCTCGAATTAATTTGAATGCGCTCCCGGTTAAATTTTTAGCTGAAATTTGGTATGAGTAAACTAGACTTGATGAATAAGATGCTCAAAAAATGTCATCAAAAAATTCCACCGGGAACCTCCCCAAATCGTGACGACCGAACAGAGTCTCCTATAGAAGGACTTACTTGACTTTTTTATGAAAGTTCGAGAACCTATTTGACAGTTTTCCCATTGCAATTTGTACTTGTGTTGAGTTGTCTTTTTGAATTTTGAATCATTGGTAGCCACCAACAAATTTTCGAGCACATAAGTACATCCCTCACGGAGAAGAGGATCAAACTTTGAGATTAGACTTTGCTTTACAGAAGCATGTATCTTAGTTTTCTGTTAGAGTAGTTGAACAAAATAGTTAAAAATCTTAGTTTTCAATTAAGAAGTAGTTTAACAAAATAGTAAGAAATGATAAACTGTAATAATCAATGGTTGCATTATGCAGTAATTGTTGCAAATACCTTTTCATCTAGCAAAACCATCTCAATGCTCTCTGGTTGTCCTGATTTGTTTTTGCCAAAGGACTTCCAAATGCGTATAATACACACATGAATCTTCCATTCGATTGATCCAGGCAAGGTATCTTGCAAGAACGTGCTCGAAGGATTCATGTTTTCTTAGAATATGACTCCGAGTAGACAAACAATGGTAATAGTGAGATTATTCTCTGGGTAGTAATATATAAAGTATATCTCAATTTTATTTTTGGATAGTATACATATATTATAATATATATATATATATAAATATATATATATATATATATATATATATATATATATATATATATATATATATATATATATATATATATATATATATATATATATATATATATAATCGTGTATCATCTTTGTATTGATGCGAACTATTTATGGATAGTTCACGAAATAATAATATACTACTAATTTATATTTATTATATTTATTTATGGATAGTATATATATGGATAGTGTATATCTAACCGATTTAGGCTATAGCAATTAGCTTGTAGTTATGAAGCTGGTACCATCGCATATGGAGAGTTCTAGTATTTGCTCTGTATTATATTTATTATTTATTGAAAAGTATGTATATGGAGAGTGCATGACTTTATGTTACATACCGTAACATATGGAGTATATTAATACTGTAGTTAATTGCTGGGCGTCAGTTACAATATTGCATTTGCTCACATAATTCGAGTATAATAATACTGTACAATTGTTGGGCGGGAGAATTGCACAAACTGGGTGCAAAATCAATTGCACAACCAATTCCTTTATATAATATAAAGATAAACATAAGCTTGATCACAAATTATGCATATTATTGATCATTGATCATAAGAGTACATACATTACACATATTTATTTAAAAACAAAATAAAAGGGGAAGAAATAAAAAGTACATAAAACTAGGAGTCTACTATTTTATTTTGTATTATTTTGGTTTATGGCAAAAGCATCGTCCATAATGGCATCATCAGTGAAAAAGTCGGACATGTCAAATGTTGGGTGAGATGGAGTTGTGTCATTGACATAATTAGCTTCCATATTTTTGTCTTTGTTTAGATTCATGGAAGCTTGAAATAACTCTACCAAGTGTTTAGCCGTGCGACATTTATTAGCCCAATGCCCCGTCATGCCACATTTATAACAAGTCGTCTTCCCCGAGGATTTTGGAGGGTGATTTATTTGATGAGCTTTTTGTTTGCCCTTGCCCTTATAATTCGATCTATGGACCTGTTTATATTCTCGATGGGACTTGTTATTATGACCACTATAATACCCACGTTTAAAATGCCTTCGAGGGCCACTGTGTGTTGCATTTGATCCAGTGGCTAAATTATGGCCAGATGGACCATAAATCGAAGGACTAGAACCGGTGGGTCTCAAATTGTGATTTTTCATCAAAATGTCATTATTTTGCTCAGCTACTAATAATACTGATATTAAGTCGGAGTATTTTTTAAAACCCTTTTCTCTGTATTGCTGTTGTAGCAGCATATTAGAGATATGCATAGTAGAAAAGGTTTTCTCCAACATATCAGCATCAGTAACTTTTTGTCCACATAACTTTAATTTAGATGTTATTTGGAACATAGCAGAATTATAGTCACTGATAGATTTAAAGTCCTGGAATCTTAAATTGATCCAGTCATACTGAGCTTTTGGTAAAAGCACCTTTTGTTGGTGGCCATACCTCTCCTGTAAATTGTCCCATGATTTTTTGGATCATCGACCAAAAGATATTCAGATTTGAGACTTTCATGGAGACGGTGACGAAGAAAAATAATAGCTTTCGCTTTATCCTGGGAGGATGATTGATTATCAGCCTCAATGGTGTCTTCAAGACCATTAGCCTTCAAATGTGCTAAAGCATCAATTTTCCATTCTAGGTATTTTTGCCCGGACAGATCAAGAATTTTGAATTCTCTTTTGTTAATGTTTGCCATTGTGTAACTACAAAAAGGAATTTTTTGTAAATTTCATATATTGTTACCTTATATATATATATAGTATATTCTAGCTATATGTATGCATATATTATATTTTTAATAACAATACATTATGTGCAATCGAATTAAGTAATATAATCATATGCAAGCTAATTTGAACATACAAGCTAAGGAATATTCTTTATTTAAGTATAATTAAAGAATGTTGAGTGGAAAATTACGTACATAATATATACAATTTGTTTGAATGGAAGTTTGTATTTTTATTAATTTATTTAAATAATGAATACGAAGTATTAACAAAATTATGTTAAATGATCCATAGCTAGTATGTATAGTGGCTTATATACAATTATTACTAGTATATATATAATGGATAAATTTGATCATAAAATGAATACAGCCAAAATGAACTGACATCCGTAATCTTTACCAAAGCATGCATGTGATCTTATCATATTTAAAATTACTAGTTTATACATATTGACTTACTGGACAGCTTATGTGCAGTCCAATTTCTGACGATCATGCAAACAACCCGGATAAATGTAGTGTTCACGTGACTAAGCCTAGCTAATATATTAGCATTCATATCTCATAGTCATTTCATATTCTCCGTTACTTATTCTTTCTTCTTGTTCTTCAATCCTTTTTTTTTGCATTTCAAATCACAATTCACTTCTGCTTTTCTTCTACAAAGTGCTTAAATATCACAATTCAGAATTGAAGAACCTTAATCAAGAGGTAAACTTTTGTTCCTTCTATTATGAAAAATAGTACGTAAGTTTTATTTGGGAAATTAAACCAATTAGTATATATACTTACGTACTTAGTATTATATTTTAATGACTTCGACAAATTTAAAGAAGATCATATCATTCATCGTGATGCATGCAACATGCTCATACCCGCAGGAAGATGATTTCTTGGAGAGTTTTGAGCAGATTCGTGCTGATGACGTGTTGTGAAATGAAGAAGATCAAGACTAAATTTATGAGATAGAAATATAGTTAAAAAACCTCTCAATAACTTCTTCCTAATAATTTTCTCATTGTTTTTGTTGTTTTGGGTAAAGTCCGATTCCTATTTTAAAAATTCGTGTACACAGTTTGGATCTATTCAATTAACGGTTTCTACAGTTTTTATTCTTTTTAAGATTATCCGAACTCTAACCCACCCGTAACCATGGTTTGCAATTGCGCAATGCCTTAGCGCCATGAGGCGCGCCTCAGAGTTTTCTACGGTCATAGCGTAAAATTGCATTGCATATTGCGTTAAGGCCTGAAGCGTACGTTATTTAGGTTATTGCGTACGCAATATAGCGTGCGCAATGAGGCGCAGGTATGGCGTACGCAATATTGGTCGGTTAATTTTTTAGTTGGCCCACCGGGCCCAGTTTTAGCTTGCGACTTAATTTTATAGCCTACGACAAAAAGGAAGAGGGTTACGACATGCGACTTGCGACTTGCGAGTATAGTATATATACGTAGTATTATATACACCGATTCCAAAATAACAGAGCAATCCTTCCACAACATCTACGGTACTGCTTCTCTCTTATTCATTCTTGTTTCTAATTTCTATTGTGTTTTTCCCAGCTCGTTGCTTTTCTGATTATTATTACTTCATGTTAATTTTATGCTTGTTAATTTTCTGCTTATTAATACTTCATGTTAATTCCCAGCTTGTTTATGTTATTTTTGCGTATTCGTTTTTGTATATACTGCTTCTATGTTTGATGCTTAAATTTTGTTTCCATTGATTTTAATACCAAATATTAATGTTAATTTTCTGCCTATTAATATTTTATGAATATCATTCCATTAAGTTTCAACTTATCAATATGTTTTTTCAGTTATAAATTTATAATATTTAATGATAACTTCAACTTTGATAGTTTGATGTAATATTAATATTAAATTTTCAGTTTAGTTTAATGTTAAATATTACTGTTAACATAGCAGTTAAGTTTCTGCATATTAGTATATTCTTTTTGTTTTCATTTTTGTTTTCATATTTGATGTTAACTTCACCTTTCACTCTTTCAGTCATTATTAAAATTAGTAATTAGTGTTTACAGTTTTACTTAATTTAAAAGTAAATAGTAATGTTAATTTTCTATTAAATTAGTTTTCTGTTAGTATTCAACTGTTCAAGTTTACATCATATATATATATATATATATATATATATATATATATATATATATATATATATATATATATATATATATATATATATATATATATATATATATATATATTATGCTAATATATCATTCTTGTTATTTTCTTTCGCCATAGATAGCTTTTTTGGTGCGGTACAATCATGACTAAAACGAATAAAAATGACCCAGCGTGGAAACATGGTGACGAAATTCAACGAGAACGGTTAAAGGGCAAATCTTATAAATATGTAAAATGTAAATATTGCCTTAAAGAGACCACGGGAGGGGTAACCAGATTCAAGCATCATCTCGCCTGCACAAAACAAAATGTAAGCGGGTGCCCGTCAGTTCCAGAAGACATAAAAAAATACATGCTATGCCTTTTGAAGTTGGGGGAGAAAACACAGGCAGTTCGGGACAGAGATCGGGAAGAGGTTATCAATAGTGGTTCATACTATCACAGTGTGAACCCCTGTGTCGTGGATTCAAATGAAGGTAGCAGTAGCCAACGAGGAGTCCAGGGCCCTATTGATAGATATGTCATCGATGTCGAAGGTGATAATAAGCAAACTCCTGTAGGCGAAAAAGAAGCAAGAGAAAAGTGTTGCTCGGATGTTGGGAGATTTTTTTTCGAGAATGGTATTCCATTTAATGTTGCCAATTCACCTTCATTTATCAACATGTGCCGTGCAATCGGTAATTATGGACGGGGTTTCAGGCCACCTTCAGCTTACGAGCTTAGCCATTGGATTCTAGATGAGGAAGTGAAGACAACTGAGAAACTTGTTGAGGAGGTGAAGTCGACATGGACACAAACAGGAGTGTCTATATTATCCGATGGGTGGAAGGATATGCGTGGAAGACAGTTGATTAACTTTCTAGTCAATAATCCTTATGGAACAGTATTTTTGAAATCAGTTGATGCCTCAGCTCATGTCAAAGATGCAAAGATGTTGTGCAAGCTTCTGGATGGTGTTGTGGAAGAAGTAGAGGAAGATATTGTTACTCAAGTCGTAACTGATAACGCCTCCAACTATAAAGCGACTGGCAAATTGTTAATGGCGAAGCGACAGCGTCTTTGGTGGACACCTTGTGCGGCTCATTGTATTGATTTGATACTTGAGAAAATTGGAGAGCTCCCACAACACAAGAATGCACTAGCAAAGGCCAAGACTGTAAGTAATAAATATAAAATTTAATTATCATTTAAAATTTCAAATTTAAGTTAATTATTAAAATAAAAGTAGGACTCGTGTCAATTCAATTGTATTAATATATTATTTTGTTATAGGTCATTCATTATATATACAATCACGGATGGACACTGGCTTTGATGCGACAAATGTTAAAAAGAGATCTTGTTCGTCCAGCTGCCACACGATTTGCTACCGCATACCTTACGTTGCAAAGCATGCATAATTCAAAAGATGAATTGGAAGAAATGTTTGTTTCTAAGGAATGGTCATCACATGTCTGCTACCGCATACCTCATCACATGTCTAAAACTGCAGAAGCAAAGAAGGTGAAACAAATTGTGTTGAGGGACAAATTTTTTTGGCCATGCGTGGTGTATGCAATCAAAACAACAAAGCCTTTGTTTACTGTGTTGAGGATGACAGACTCGGAAAAGGTCCCTGGTATGGGGTTTTTATATGGTTCTATGGATCATGCAAAAGAAGAGATAGCTAAAATCTTGGGCGGGGATGTGGCTGCATATAAAGAGATTTGGAGCATAATCGATGAGAAGTGGGAATTTCAGATGCATCGTGATTTGCATGCAGCAGCTTATTATCTTAACCCTCGTTACCAATATGATCCCAATATGTCCAATCATCCAGAGATTAAACTTGGTTTGTTTAATTGTGTGGCAAAAATGTTTCCTGATCGAGAAGTTCAGGAGAAGATACATTTGCAGATGGATGATTATCGTTTGAAAAGGGGATTCTTCGGCCATGATGTAGCGAAAAGCACAGTTGATAAACGTAGTCCTGGTATGAAAAGTTTATTAATATTTTTTACTTTAATTTTTTATTACAAATTAATAATTTTAATTATGTTACTCTAGTGGACTGGTGGTGTCAATATGGGGATCAAACACCTGAATTAATGGCTTTTGCTGTGAGGGTGTTGAGTCTTACGTGTTCGTCATCTGCCTGTGAGCGCAATTGGAGCACGTTTAATCAGGTATTAAATCATTGTATAAATAATTATTATAAAATATTAGTTAACTAAGTAAATAATAAAGTTTAACTAATATGCTTGTAGATACATACCAAGAGAAGGAACCGTTTGCATACGCATAATTTGAACAAGTTGGTGTTTGTGATGTATAACAAGAGACTAAAGACAAAGTGGATGAGAAAAACATCACTTAAAGAAGACATTGATCCTTTAGTGATGGATGAGATTCCATCAGATGATGAATGGGTTATTGATGAAGATGAGACAAATCCTGATGTTGCTCGTGATGATGATTGTGATGGTGAAGCTAGTGCTGGACGTTCTTCAAGTCAAGAACTTGTTCGTAGCAGTGGAAAGGGCCGCGAGCAAGGACGGTTGAGAGGAAATAGTCAAGGTCAAAAAAGAAAGCGACATGATAAAGGAAAGGGAAAATTGCATTTGATCGATGAAGATGAAGAATTGCATAGTGATGATACTGATTTCGATTTTGACCTTGATGAGGATGAGGATGAAGGAAATGTTGGTGGTTATAATCCTTATTTCAGACCACTAGATAGTGATGATTCGATTTTTCAATCATCAATCTAATATGTTTAGGATTATTTTACGATGTTTCAGAATTTTTTGCTATTATTCAGGATTCTTTTTCCTAAGATTGTTACAACATTTGATTTGTTTTGATATTGCATTTGCTGGTTTCTCTTGAATAATGTTTTTTGATATATATATATATATATATATATACATATATATATATATATATATATATATATATATATATATATATATATATATATATTTACGCCTCAGCTATACGCCTCATTGCGCAATGAGGCTTACGCAATATGCAATTCTAAAAATCCGCCATGATTACGCAATACGCAATTACGAACATTGCCCGTAACCACCCATAATTAGAACATTACGACAACGTTTGTTTTTCGGCGGTTTCTTGCCTACCCGCTGTAAATTACAGCGTTTTGCGGTTCAAAGCAATCAGCTGATTGGTCAAACCGATGCTATCCAAACGGGGCCTACATGTCTAACCCAAATGGTTTCGGACTAAGAAGCTATTCTCTTCGTCTTATCTGAATGTTTCTGATCTGAATTTTTTAAGATCTGATCTGATGTGATTTGATCTGAAATTTTCTGATCTGAATCTTTCTGATCTGATATGATGTGAATCTTTCTGATCTGATCTGATCTGAATCTTTCTGATCTGTTCTGATCTGATCTGAATCTTTCTGATCCGATCTGATCTGAATCCTTCTGATCTGATCTTAACTTTTTAAACCGGTATATAATAAAATTAATACTAATAATAATAATTATAATAATAATATCAATAATAATTATAATAATAATAACTAATAATATCAATAATAATTATAATAAATTAATAATAATAATAACTATTATTATTATAATTATAATTATTTAATAATAATAATAAAATAATAGTAATAAGAATAATAAAATAATAATAATAGTAATAATAATAATAATAGTAATAATAATTATTATTATAATAATAATAATAGTAATAGTAATAATAATAGTAATAATAGTAATAATAATAATAATAATAGTAATAATAGCAATAATAATAATAATAATAATAATTATAATAACAATAGTAATAATAATAATAATAATAATAATAATAATAATAATAGAATGTTTTCAATTTGCTATGAATGTTTTTCATCTGATCTGATCTGAATGTTTCTGATCTAATCTAAATGTTTCTGATCTGATTTGATCTGAACTGAATGTTTCTGATCTGATCTGAATCTTTCTAATCTAATCTGATCTGAATCTTTCTAATATGATCTGAATCTTTCTAATCTAATCTGATCTGAATCTTTCTGATCTGATCTGAATTTTTCTGAATAAAATAAATAAGAATAGCTAGTATAAGCAAAGAGAATAGGACAAATTAGTAAATTACCATACGCCCATCTTATTGTCCCAGTAAAATCTCCCGTGGCCGCCGCCGCTCCTCAACGACACAGAGTACTGAAATAGTGCTCGACTATTGCTCTCTCTAGCCGCTTTTCTCCAATATTATCCGAAATACAAGAGGAATAGGCTATACGGGAAAAGAAAGATGGCTGATGTTGTGCAGTACAAGCTCGAGCGGATTCTCCCGGAGTTGGAGGACTTGCACAAACGCGGCTTGTTCAGCCGCACAGAGATTGCCGAGATCGTCAAACAGCGTCGCAAGTTTGAGTACCGGCTGAAGAGGCATAGTCCACTGAAATCGGATTTCATAGCCTACATTGATTACGAGAAGCAGCTAGACGCCCTGCGGCTCCTTCGTAAGAAATCTCTGATGAAACAGGGCGGCTACACTAAGGCCAAGAAATCTGTTTCCGATTTTTCCGGCTTAGCGAGGATTGTGGAGATTTATCGCCTTGCTACCAATCGGTTCAAGGGCGACATAGACCTCTGGTTTCAGTATTTGGAGTTTTGCAGAGAGCGAAGGAATGGTAGAATGAAGAAGGTAGAGAGCGTTTACAATCATTTATAAATATTTATTGGTGCGTGCTTCTATCTTTGTTTTAGGATTGGTAGTATGTCTGCTAATATAGACTGGACATCAAAATTATTTGAGTGAACTATACATTGCATGAGCTTTTGGGATTAGGGCTTGCATGTTATTTGTTGTTGTTGTTGTTGTTGTTGTATACGTAGCATGAGCTTTTGAATATTAAATATTAGTTGTATTTTGTGAATCTGGGATCTTCAAGCTCATACGCTTTGATGATAAAGTTGGTAACTTTTAATTTTGTTTTAACAGGGGAAATATTTTGCTTTTTCTTGTGATCACAGGAAAGCAAGACAATTATACAGTGTGTTGTTATCTCTTTCCACACTTATTAAAGTTATTAGATCGTAAATTTATGAATCATTGTATGTTGTTTTTCATTTGGATTAATCAGACCCCAAATTTAATTGGGAGAGGTGCTGCTAACTTCATGCATGTTTGTTACAATTAAAAAAGAGATATTTAGTCTGTATAGATCATGTCATTGTATGAAGAAGTGTGAAGTCATAAATATGGCTCCCATTACACATTGTTGAAGCAGATCAATATTTTAACCTGTCATTGGAATATTGAATCTTGTATAATGTATATCCCTGCTTCTTGCTTTAGCTTATTCTGTAATGTTCAATAATGATTCATGCTGGAGCCCCTGTTAGTTGTGTTACTTATGTAAATGCATGTGTAGTTTGTCGGCTTTTTATTATAACGTTTTGCAATGTGGTTTTATTAATTTGTATATAATATAATGCCTTTTTATACATATATTTTTTATTCAATAGGCTCTGATAGATGCTATCAGGCTTCATCCAAATGTGCCTGGGCTGTGGATTTATGCTGCAGCTTGGGAATTTGACCACAACTTAAATGCCGCAGCTGCTCGTGCCTTGATGCAACGTGGTTTTAGAGCATGCTCATCTTCTGAGGATCTATGGGTAGAATATCTTCGTATGGAGCTCACATACCTTAATAAGCTGAAGGCTCGAAAAGTAGCCCTCAGAGAAGATGTTGGCATGTTGAGTCTGGATCAGAAAAGTGTAGAAGAGAAGCATTGGAGAGATAAGAACGAAGAATTATTTATGTCCATTGATTTAAAGAGTGAGGATGGTAAACCATTAAATCCTCAAGATGTTGAGGAAAAGGACAAAGTTGATTTATTTCAAGAGAACGGCTTAAGAATTCTTCAAACTGTTTATGCAAGTGCTATTGAATCCATCCCTTCTAGTTTCAGCTTAAGAATACGGTTCCTTGATATACTAGAAGCAACAGGTTTAGGTTGCTCAGGAGATATGCGAATGAAGATACTTGATGATTTGAAAAAGGACTTCAGTAAAGCACCAGAGTATTGGGACTGGTTGGCGAAAACAGAAATGTTTGGTCTTAGAAACACGAAGAATAATGCTGAGTTAATGACTACTGATCTCTTACACAAAGCAATTCAAGTAAGACAAATCTAAAGTGGGCATTTGTATCTACCTATATTGAAATTTGGCATGTCTACCTCATAGTTAATTCAATCTCTGACTTCCTTCCCATATTTTATTTTCATTGTACATGCATCCTGCTATTGATTTTTTAAACTCTTTTGGGACTAAGGCTTGGTTGTTGTTGTTGTTGTATGGAATACTAGGTATATGAGGAGGGTTTAGAAGTTGTGTCTTCAGCCACAATGTTTGATCTTTATGTCAAGTTTTTGAAAGATGTCATCCTGTATGCAAATGGAGATGTTAAATCTTCAAATATATTAAGCACTCACGGTCATGTTGTTAATCCCATTTCACGTCTGTTGATGGTGTACGAGAAGGCTGAGAGCTCGGGGTGCATCACGGAAGACCTAGCCTGCCAACATATTTCTCTCCTATTACAACTGGGGAAACACATTGAAGCGAAGACACTGTTAGAAAAGTTCTGTTCTGGAAATTTTTCTGAAGCAGTGAATTTGTGGGCATTACGGCTCTCCATAGAGATGATGTGTACTGGAAATGGTACCTCTTTGGATAAGGCATCTCTATCATCATTGTTTGATCCCCTGAGAATCGTTCTAATTAAAGTTTCTATAACAAGGGCAGAAAACTTGTGGCTTATGGTATGCAATAGAATTTAAGCTTTCTCAAATTACCGCATATTTGTATGTTATAGTTTGGCCTTTAGCCTTATATGAGTCAAGGGAAGTCAACAAGAATGAAAGAGGGAAGAGAGAGAGAGAGTAAGAGCATTGTTTGGCTAGAAGGGAAATTGAGAGGAAAGATTAAAAAAGACACGGGACCCACTCAAGTTTCCTTTATTCGCTGGTGTGAAGAAATAGTAGAAGTGATGTTTTACTTATATATCCCATTCTACTGTTGTGGACTCCTTTTGGAGCCACACTTATAAACAACGTATTAATGGTCCAAAGGCCCAAGAGTCAACAACTGAAAGTGGCTGAAGTGGGAATAAGGATATAGTTTCCTAATTCTAGTTAGTTTCCTAGTTCTAGTATATTTCCTTATTCTAGTTACTTAATATGGCTGAACTGGGAAACAAGAATACTGTTTCCTAATTCTTATAAGTCCTGATTCTAGTTTTGTTTCTAATTCTTGTTTCCTTTCCTATTTAAAACTCTTAGCAGCCTCTTTATATAAAGGGGTTTTTGTTATGGAATAAAGGACGTTTTTGGAGAATTAATTTGTGTGTCTTGACAAGGTTGGGCGCCAATTAATTTAACAAGAATAGCTTCATTAAATTCTACTGATTCTTTGTCTCTTTCCCGATTAATATCTCGAACGCATCCTTGGACTAGGGCTAGCTCTCGCCTCCTTAACATCTACCTTTGAAAGTGTTATTTTTAATTGGGAAAAGGGTCAAATAAGGCATTCTACTATTACGGAATCGTCACATAAGGTCATGTACTCAATAAAGTGTCATATAAATACGTCTACTTATAAAAAGCAATCGCATGAGTCCTAACAACTCATTGACAAGATCCTAATCCTGATTTTAGCTTACATCTAGGTTCAGGGTTTCAACATATAAATTGACTATTACATTTTCTTTACTGGTTAATATGCAGGCGCTCAAGTTTTTCTCAACGCATAAGAATTTTTTTGACAAACTGGTGGATACTTCAGTAGCTTTATTGGCTGAACAAGGTGGAAGTGATGATGAAATTTCACTTTCTTCTACCATTGTACATTATGTTCTGCAGAAGGATGGTCTTCACTCTGCAAGAGTGATGTACAGGCGGTATGTTGTAATTGTTTGATGCAATGGTATTATGATTTACATCTAGGGGTCTATTCGGAGGACTTAGCCTCTCTCTCTGTTTCTATGGGCACACACAAAAAACATTCATATATACATTTAATATTTTACAAAAATTGAAATATTAACACAATAGGTGATCGTATAACATTTCATTCATCTCTTATTCATTTTTAAAAACATTATGCTTATCAAGATATAGTCTAAGCCTCCAAAGTCCAGACTTATCCATCCAAATAGATCCTATGAGTCGAAGTGTGATGCTTGCTTGTGACTTCTTTTAGCCTTTGTTTGTGTTTCATATGATAATTAAAAACCACTACAAGATTAAAACAATAAAATTCTAAATTGTTTAGTCACATAAGAAATTCTCAAGCGCTAACAAGTTACACCAGAAGACAACAAAGGATTCTTGAGAATGGTATTAGGGAAAATAACAGAAGTTGGAAAAAATGACAGTTGTACTTTGTAATACTACCTCCGTAACGTTGAGATATTCCCACTTTGAAAGTAGGTGAAATTATGAATAGTGAAAGTGGGTATAAATTGTTGAGTGTATGATGGGAAGATAATAAATAGTGTGATGGAATGAAGGATAAATCCAAAAAAAGTAGGTGTAATAGAGTATTATTTTTAAAATTATTGAGAGTATGGTGGGAAGATTTAGAAATGGGAAGATTATTTAGTTACGGTTTCAAAAGGAAAGTGGAAGATCTTTACGTTACGGAGGTAGTAGTTCAGATTAGATATTTAGGGAGAATGAGTAAACATAGAAAAAATGATAATTGTACCTTGTAATGTGTGTGCGTCCTCATCCATCCACATAAACACACACACACACACATGTACGCATATAGTGGGATTGTGGTAGTATTTGATATAGTTGAAGCTTAAGAGGCAAAAAAGAAGATGGATACATCTAACATTTACCTGTATCCTGTACCCAACTTTCACAGTACCCATCTGTGCCTCAGCCAGTCAGCCGCAAAAAATATTCAACAACAACATCAACATCCAAGTCTTAGTCCCAAAAGATATTGGGGTCGGCAAAAAATATTCATATCAAAAAATTAATGTGGTGTTCACACCCAGGTGCATCTTCAACTCAAAAGACCTGTTACGTATAGGAATACCCACACTTCAGGGGAAGAGAGATGGGTAGTGAGAAAGAGCTATAGAGATTAGAGAAGAGACGTATGGTAGATTTTGTGATGTTTGATAGACGGAAACTACATAAGTAATTGGTAGAAATTAGAAGGATTACATTTTTCACCATGAAAGAGAAGAAAGATAAAGGAGGTGAAACCTACCATTTTCACTTCTCTCCCCGTTTCTCTTCTCACTAAACAAAAAGTTCTTCATTTCTCTGATGTTTATTTCTATCCTATTTTACCTTAACCACACAGGCTTAATGAGAAAACTGAGAGGTTATCCTACTTTTTTCTATCTAAATAAATACAGATTTATGGCTCTACCACACCCGGGACTTTCAATATATAAGAATTGCATCAAATTGGAAGAGAGTCTTGTGTCTGCGGGTGACAAGGGTTCTCTTGCAAATGCTCGCTCACTTTATGATTCTGCACTGACAGCATATGGCCAAGAAATTAGCTTGTGGAAAGACTACTACTCTATGGAAGCTAAGGTAAGCATTGGTACATTCCTTTTTTCTCACTGTCCCATTCACATAGGCAAGCGAGTACCAATGCATGACTCTTCACTCCTTGGGATGATGCTGGTCTTGGAATTTTTGCACAATCTTAGTGGTCATTTTATTGTAAGAATGGAATGATGAGAGAGAATGATTTTAATCATACTGAAAAGTCAAGGAAGAATTTCAAATTCTAATGCACTAAAAAAACCAAGCTTCGTTGATCCCCAGCTTATTAGTTTAGGGAACATTTTTAACTCTTAAAAGTTATGGCTTTGGATGGTGGAATATAATTACTAGGAGTTTCTTTTATAGTGTTTGTTATACATATGAATTGGAAGGGAATATAAAGTATCTAGGTACGTGGTGTTTCTTGTGTCCTATCTCTGTTACATACCAATATTTTGCATTCTTTATTCGGTGTTTCATGGATTTGCAATAATGATTTCTTTTAACTGCAATTTTCAGTTTGGAACACCTGAAAAAGCAGCAGCAGTTCAATGGCGGGCACGGAAAACACTCAACAAAAACGTCCTATTATCAAAGTTTTAAAGTTTTTGAGAGATTAACATGTATGTGTAGTCCACATAAATTTTGTACTATCCTGTTCTTTCTCTATTAGCATACCTACTGAATCCATTAGGTACCTGTGAACATCGATGCCCATCCGAGCAATTGTATGTGCATTTTCTGAAGGTAAATTAGATGTGCTGTTGAATTCTTACATAAGAACAGAACATCAATTGGTAGAACGGAGCTACTGTCTTGCGCAAGCTTGTTTGTTAAGTAATGCTCATCTCAGGGCAAGCATGTTTGTTGAGTAATGCACATCTCAGATTGAAATGTTATGTTTTTGTTCAAGGAAATGTACCGTCTTGCGCCCCAGTCTTATGAAAGAATGACAAAAATATTACATCTAAAGTTTGAATGGACAAAAATATAATCATTTTAAAACTTGACAAAAAAGTGACCAACTCTTCCGACCAGAGGCTTCTCTCGGTCTTTCCTCCGTCTCTCCACATCTTCTCTATCGATTATTGCAGCTGTCCATTGCAATGCCACAAGCTCCACTCTCACCATCTGATGTCGCCGACTCGCCGCCTCCACTGGCATCCCATGTCACTGCCTAGGGATGGACCCAACCGGGTTGAACTGGCCCGGGAACCGGACCGGCCTGCTACTGTGCGGGATCGGATCGAATTGGGCTCGTTGGCCGGTTCTGGGCTTTAGTCCGGGCCAGGCTTGGGCCATGATTTTCATGAACCGGCTCGGGCCTGGTTCATTTTTTTTTCAATTTTTTTCTTTTCCTTGGGTAGGGCTTCCTGGGTTGGGTGTTTTGGGGAGGTTTGAGGGGTGGGGTGAGGGGGGGAGGTCGGGGGTTAATTAGAAAGCCAAAAAAACATTGAACCGGCCCGGACCTCGGTATCAACTGGGCCGGTTTCCGGCCCAACATTCCAAAAAAAAGCTCGGCCGAACCGGCTCGGAGCCCAAACCGGCCCGGGCCGGTCCATGCCTATCACCGCCTTTGTCTTCATCTTGTTGTGATTTTTCTTCTTCATTTTGACTTTTAGCTCCATAGATGAAGCGGTGACAAGATGGATGGCAAAGGTAGAACGAGTTTGTCGTCGCCGTCCTCGTTTCCATATCTGTGGTGAAGTTCTCGGCTATTAGGGCACGAGGATGGCGGCATCTATGGTTTGGTGATGGCGGCGGCAGTTAAATTTCAGTGATGCGATATGGTGACAATGATTAGGGTTCGGAGATGATGACAGCTCGGTTAATAGACGGATGAACACTAGCATTTGAGGCTGGAGAGAGGGAAATGGTGGACTGGGTCAGGGTATGCTAATCTGTAATAGATCGGGTTGGGGAGGGGTGGATCGAGGGTTGGGTTGGTCGAAGCTGGGGAGGGTGGCTGGGGGCAGGTCAAGGGGCTGGGTAGGATAAGGGGTAGGGGGTGGATAACTGGAGCGTGGGGAGGGGCAGTATGCAGTTTGTTATACAGAGTATGCAACATCTAATTCATATATACTTATTCTCCATACTGAAGTGACTAGTCACATACAACTATGCATGCGTAAAAAAGGTCGAGGTCATGGAGGAATATGCTAATATTTTCCAGCAATTGATCCTCACTTTTATTACTAATCAAGTAGTCATTGCATAGTTAACAATTAAAGAAATTATTGCTCATTCACGGATGGATATAATTACCCTGGCTTGATCGGCCATTTCATAGGCTCGGGTATTGCACGTCATCTAGGTCCAGGCCTTAACTTTATAAGGAACTTTAATATCATAAGAAATGTTCTAAATTGTACCACCAGTCGAACCACCGATTAAAAGTTAGAGCCTAAAATCATTACCTAAATATAAGTGGAATATTGAAAACGGGAAAACACAAATATTTTGTAAAATCATACCAAAAAGCACATAATTTTCATTTTTGTACAACAAATATCCACGAAATCTTTGATAATTTACTGAATTTTGAAAATATCTATATCTAGGATCTTTGTCAATGATCTAATTTTAGTCTTACTTTATCAGGATTACTTGAGATTGTATGATCCTTTTTAGTTCCTTTTAATTATCAATTTTATTTTTTTTCTTTATTATAAGATTAAATTTAGTTTTTTGGTTCCTTTTTAATTAGCAATTTTAAGTCCATTTTAATTAATAATTTTATTAGTGATCTTTTTTGTTATGATTGTATAATCTTCTCTATATATGCAGGAAAAGAGTTTGATAAGTGTCTCACAGGATAACCATAATGATAAACTTGCTATAATATTCAATATTCATGTTTTTACTATAGATAATGTATTCATAGATAATGTATTTCATAATGAAACTTATTAAACTAATAATTCTTTTGATAGCACAGAAATTAGCTGTATTGGTCGGATATGATGAAATTTATGAAATTTTGGCTGAAAATGTTAAATTAGGTGAATTATGATTAAGTTATAGTTATCGTTTAGATATGTAAGTGTGAAGTAGATGTGTAAATTAATCATGTTAATCCTATTATCGTTTAGATATGCAATTACTCATTTAAAGAAATTCATTTCTCAAATTGAGGTTTAAAACCAAAACTAGTGTACGGCGCTTCAGGAGGCGTTCAACGGGTTTAACGAAGCAACGAAGCGGACATATTGGTCTGTGCAGCAGCGGTTCCGGAATTTTTAGTCGGCTTGGTAAGGCATAGAGATTTATGGAGAATATTGGTGATCAATACAAAAAGATGACAATTGGTGCGAAAGAAGATCTGGCGAGCTATGGGAAGGTGACCATTTCGGTGATTGGCATGATAGATTCTAAGATGAATTTCCTGGAGGTTGAAATTCTCTTCTATCATACTACAGCAGCTTGTCCTCCTCCGGAACCACCTTCCTGCGAGGAAGTAATTTGGGAAAAGTTTTTCTCTTCGTATTGTTTTTCTCTTCGTAGTACTTATTTTTATTTCAGTTCGACTGGGTGTGGTCGGAGTATTTTGATATTTGATGAACTCTTGATAGACATCGTTTCATTTTCGGTCATTTTATGCTTCTTCTTGCTCGTTTTGTGTCTAACAAGTCATGTTGCTTTGTATGAGTGACTAACTCTAAGTCTATTCGTAGGGCTTACGATCGGATTTGTAATATCTGTCTAGATTTGATGATGCGTGTTTGCTCTATTTTAATGGAAAGCTGTTTTGATGATCCAAAAAAAACCAAAACTAGTGTACAACCTGGGGCATGCCCCGGTAGTATCATGTTAATGTGATTTAAAATTGTAAATATTAGTAGAGGACGTGAATTATTTACAAAACTTGTTAATAACAATTTTATGTTGAGAAAATGAATATGATTAGTACTCCGTAATGTTTTGTTGGGAAATTAAAAAGGGATTTTTTTTTTATAAAAATACATGTACGATTAAAAATTTGATATATATATGTGTGTGTTTATTATTCTTTTGATTTCAAACTTTTTATTTTAAGAAATGTGTAAGAAACGTTGTGAATCACAAATGTTTTACCAAAAAGGGAAAGTGAAAGTGTAATTGAGACAAAAAAGGAAAGTTGAAAGTGTTATAGAAACAGAGAGAGTAACTTTTAATTTCCATTACTACCTACGTCTCACTAATATTGGGAGAGAAGGAGGTGACATGATTATTACTGAATAGTGATAATAGATGTTCATCATTATGGATCATGATATATCATAGGGACTACAGTTGTTTTTTCGATAAGATGATGAGGTAGTTAAAAATAATTAAATGTTTTTTAATAATGAGGATTAATATTTTCGTTAAACAATAACAAAGTGACATATCAATTAATTATGATTGTGTTTTATTATATAAAACAATAGATGAGCACATTATCATAATTATCGGTCAAACTTAATCCACTTTAAAAATTAAATTCCCATTTCGTGGTGATAATTTGCACCATAAATTAAGTGAGTTTGATTCATATATTTTTCACCATAAATAATGCATGTATAATTAAAAGGGAAAATTACGCCAATATTACTAAAACATAGAGCATTTCTCATAATATGACTAACTAATGAAACTTCCCATTATATGACTAAAACGGTTACCATATTATTAGGATTCCTCTTTAACTTGCATCTTAAAAGGATATGTAGGAACCGTAGGATTATAACAAATTAACAATAAATACTCATGCACCCATTAATTTAGGGAAAAAACTCATGAACTCATATATTGGGAAGTGGTTAATGTTTTAGTCACATGAGAGATAATTTTCTCTAATTAAAATTGATGATTGTGCTCAGTTAATTTATGAGGTAAGGGTCAATTGAGTATATCAATCTGTATGAGTTGGCTAACAGAATGCTAATAGGTTGACTTCCTGAAGGTCGACGCCAGCCCCCGGCCCTTTGATCGACTTCCCCTAGTCGACGCCAGTCCCCCTTTGTCGACTTCCCCTTGATTGATGCACCCTTGTTGACACCCCCCCCCCCCCCCGCCCCCCGTAGGTCAACTTCTGAAGGTCGATTTTCCCCTTTTTGTTTGACTTCGTGAAGGTCGGTACCATAATCTTGGTCCACTACCCCTTCGTAATCATCATTTGGTTAGCCAACTCAGCCATATTAACGCGTTAATCTAACAAGTGTACTCGATTAACACTAAATGTCCGAGTTTATGTACTTACAAATGTCAAATGCAATATTATGTACTCTTTACTCCACCTCATGCAAGTTGATGTACTTAGTTGACACTTTCCCTAATAATAGGGGATACCACAGTTTCGAATAAGATGGTGAGTTAGTTGCTACTTATTTAATATTTTATAAATAGTGATAGTAAATATTTTCCTTAACAAATTAGAAAGTGACACATCAGCTTTTTAAAACTCTGCTTTAATATACTCTCTTCGTTCCAAATTATTTTGCAATGTCAGCATTTTTCGATCAATCAATAATAAAAGTCAATGCTCTGTATCGATAATTTAATTCAATTTTTAATAATTAAAATTTACATATTCAAAAACTAAATTAAAATCTTTTCAAAGTTGTAAATCCCCATTTAAAATATAATTACAAATTGACATCCTAATTAAGTGAAAACCTCACATTTTCAAATTAGGACCGGTATAAAACAGTAGATTTTGGGATCGGATCTGTATCTCGACCCGCTTCTTCTCCTCGCAAGAACCGAGTTATCACGCATTCACGCAGGCATAGAGAGCTGCAATGATGGCATGGATGAGGGGAGAGCCGCTGGTGTCGAAGCTGGCTGTGCTGGCTAAGTACGCGGTGTTGCCAGGAGTTATGGCCGCCGCCGTGATATACTCTCCTCCCGATTTTGTTCTCCAGAAACCTCAAGCATCATCATCACC